CCACCCATGCACGCCCACCTGTTTGTGGCTCCCTGGACGGCAGAGCGGACAGCTGCAGCCAGGTAAGACATCCCCCGAAAATAAGACCGAGTGTCTTTTTTCGTGAAAAATAAATAAATAAGATACTGTCTTATTTTCGGGGAAACACGGTAGCAGGCTATTGCCCACTATATGCCGACAGCACAGAGCTGCGCTGCAGCTGGGAAAGATCCCGACAATATTGTCAGGATCCACCTGGCTGCCTGATTGACAGCTGCGTTTGCCTCTCTTGAGCCAGAACCAGCTGTCCACCACCTCCAATGAACACAGGAGGAATAGAGAGAGGAGATTTTTGTGATTGCTCAATTCTTGATCTATAGAGCCAGTATGTGACAGCTGCAAATACTTCTTTAATGTTCAAAAAAATGCTGCAAACTTGGTTTTCAGACAACTGTAATCTCATATACGTACCTCTAATACAGTGTGATCACACAGGAAAGTCACATGATACACAATACATAGGAAAGCCATGTCCTGCTTCCTAGCAGTGAGCATAGTAATGAGTTACCCAGCCTGATTGGGAGGCCACATCAAAAAAAAAATAAGCTGGCAGAAAGTCTGGAAAGCTGGTAGAACGTTCCAAGTACAGACACACAAAGAGGTGTTCACATGCACTTTATCTGTGCTGTCAGTTGTTTATCTTATTAAATAACAGTCACTTTAAAGGCAGGATCAAGTCACAAGGGGTTTTTGTCATGGGATAACAGACTAAAATGGAATTCTAGCCCACATTTTTGTAGTTTTGATAGAGTGGGGAAGAATTAGAACATCTGTTTAGGGGGAGATTTCTCATCCCTTTCTGCCCCGCAGACACAGCAATGAGTGTAAATATCCTCAAAATAAGGGGAAATCTTACTTCCCTAACCCTGTTCTGGTGACTGCCATAGCCATCGATATCTAGTCAACTGAGGCACGTGCCCTGCATCTGTTGTGCGTGCCAACAGATGGAGGGTGATGTCCCAACCTTGCAAATGTGTTCTTTAATTTGTGTGCTTTGGCAGCTGCTGGCTTCTGTCCCCACCTGCCAGCCCACGTGCTGCCTCTCATACCTGTAGCACAGAGTCAAGGAGTTTGAGTGCATATCCGTCAGTTCTGTGCTACAATTTAAAGAAAGACAGTGCGAATAGTTGCAGCATTGGTACCCAGGGCACCCACCAAAGTGAGTAAATATCATGGAGGGGGGAATTAGTGCTAAGGGTGGGATTTTTGTGTATTCCATACTCCTGATCCCTGCACTCTGTGTGTTATGTACTACTGACCCATAGATTTTGTACATTACACACTCCTGACCCCTGCACTCTATGTAACATACTCCTGACACCTGTGCTCTATGCATTACACATTCCTGACCTGTGTTCCGTGCGCATTACATACTCCTGGCCCCTACATTCGTTATGTCATATTGTACAGTACAGATAGCCCTCGGTTTGCTCCGGTTCCGTAAGTGCCATTTTAAAATAGCGCCCTTTTCGTCCGGTCACGTGGTCATCATTGAAACAACAGCTCCACCTACTGTTTCCTTCCTACGCAGGCCTCAGTTGCTGAAGGACACGCCGGGGAACACTATACAACTACAAGTGGCTAGAATACTAACAGTACAGTACTGTGCAGAGTCTCTAAGGCTGGTACAGGTGGAGGATCGCGACTCAAGAAGGGGCTCTGCACAAGCAAAAAACCCACAGAGGGACACTTGGAGGTATGGTGGTGCACACATGGAGATGTGCTGGTGGTACGGGGATACACATGGAGATATACACAGGCACAGAGAGACATGCTGGAGACACGGGTACACGGGGAGATACGGAGGAGCACAGGGGTACACTGGGAGATACGGAGGGGAACAGGGGTACACTGGGAGATACGGAGGAGCACAGGGGTACACTGGGAGATACAAGGGAGGAGCACAGGGGTATACTGGGAGATATGGCACACAGAAGTTAATTTGGAGATAAGGAAGCACATAGAGCCATGCTAGGGGCACCCTTGGAGCATTCATAACATGCATTACAAAGCTTTGAATATAGTATATTATGTCATTTTTGAGTAAGGGCTGGAAACTAACTCCCTCACTTCCCATTGACTTTACATTATGTACGGGGTTTCAATTTACATCAGTTTCTATTTGCAACCATTCCTTCTGGAACCTAACCCTGGCGTAAATAGATGGCTGTCTGTATATACTCCTGAACAAAACTTGCATGGGCTCAACATTTTCTGGTAGCGAAGTATTTTAATGAAGTTCTTCTTTAAGTTAGTCTCCCAAAACGTGTTAGCTCTCCGTCTATATTCTGTGTGCAAAAAAACATCATCTGTAATGAATCTTTTAAAAATGATTGTGCTTAGTTTTATACAGTATGTGTCTGTGAGACTCTCTCTCTTGTGGCACAGTGATTAAAGCGTATTTTGTGCGTAGAAGGACTGTGGCATATGTGTGCCATTAATACAGTAAGTAGGCTCAGGTTTTATTCAACCTTACCCCTTTGTGTCCCTCCCAGTGTTAGCACAATATGGCCACACTCCCTCCCCCACGTGCCACATCAGTGCTCTACTCAGGGTGTCCAAGGTCTGTCGCAATCCGAACAGCGCCCCTGGAGACAGCTGAAAATTTTTATATTTCCCATCACAGTCTACTCCGATGATGATGGTCTTCAGGGCAGAAAGACAAACTCCAATAAAATAGCAGCAAAAATATAAATTGTGAACTTTTCCCCTACCCACAACTCATAAGCAAGCTATGGCTGCAATTCCTGCTAGATGGCATTCAAAAGGGGCAAAAGTTCGAAAGAAATGATAAATGATGTACATGTTACAATTCTACGGTACCATCTATGTAAAACCTTAGTTGGAAACCAACGTGTATTTCTCCCTCAGCTCCCAAACATCTTTCCCATGGTGTCAGTGTGGTTAGCTAGGTCACCTCCTTTGAAATCTAATCTACTATTATATCATGGGGATAATAAGTACAGATTAGGACACTGGATGTTTTTTAGCAGCTGTCACTTCTATGTCCTAGAACAGCAAGCAGCTATGTACCAGAGGGACATGTAGCCACTCACTGACAGATGAAATCCCTCCCCTCTTCTACTCACATAGGAGTTCCTTATTTCCAGTGCTGCGATTCGGAGCTCAGAGTATTGCGATTCATCAAGCTGATGAACTAGAGCGCGGTAATCGCCCTGAAAAGAAAAGCGAGAACAAGCATCACAAAGAGAATAGGACAAAGCAGTAAACCTCAGGGGCTAAAAATTGATATTTTACGAGGCAACAATGTGGATGAGTGAAGTCTGTTCCCATTTACAACCATATTTTACACTCATTAGGTTTCAGTTGAATCCTTTTTACTTCAAACAGATTCCTAACTGAAACTGGTGAGCCTACTAGTGACTGGAATGTGATAACCATTTAAAGCTGAACTCCAGACAAGCATCTACATTTACAATTAAATTAATTGCTAGCAAAAATGGGGCCATTTGTTGAACTGGCTAAATACAGAAAGGCGCCTCACTGCAGTGGCAAAGAGCACTCAAGTGCAAGTGCTGAGGCAGCATCAGTGCAGTGGCAGTAAGTGCAGAGGCGGGCATTGGTGCAGTGGCAAGGTAAATGGGGGCATCTGGAAGTGGTGGTAAGAGCAGGGGAGAGGATTGGGTGCAGCAGTGAGAGTGGTGGTTGGTGTGCAGGGGGAGGAGGATGGGGGTCAGCTGCTGCAGTGGTGAGAGTGAATGGGGGGGGGGAAGGGGAGGAGTGTAAAGGCACAGTGGGGGGGAAGGTTTTAGGCATGGTGATGAGAGGGGAGTGCAGGTGCAGTGGTGATTGGTGCCTCCACAAGGAACTGTCAGCTGTAACACCATATGCTGTCCTCCCTGCAAGCAGCAGAGGTTGGGAGGGGGTTGGGGGGGAGAGCTGAGCTTCCAGGCTGAAGATTACAGTGTCTGTGTAAACCCCAGCAGAATCTGGGGGGCTAGGAAGATGGTGTGAACTGACAAGGCCAGAAATTTTAAGTTTATATTCCATTGCAATTCAGACTCACCTGCTGCAGGGGCCACACTGGATATGCTTCCAGCTCGGTATGGATAGTGTCAATGGTACTGCTCTACATTTAAACATGGATGCTACCATACATGCACAGTAGTGACACATTATTAATTCCTGCCTCTACTGCACGTGTACCATTTTGGCTTATCCCAAAGACTCTAGTGTTGCCCCCAGAGTGGACATGGCATTTAGTGACAGTGCTTCCGATCTCCTCTGATCTGCAGTGATCTTAGCAATACCAGCAATCAGTTCCCAGCACAGGAAGTCTCCCGTCACTAATAACTTATTTGTGGCTTCTACATGTTACGTGATCTACTAAAGAGCGCTGCGAATAAGATATTGGCAATAGGAGACTTCAGGTTACTGATTGCTGGTATGTGCAAGGATCACTGAAGGTTAGAGAAGATCAGCAGCACTGTCACTAATAGCTGGGACCAGGTCCCATCTTCATGCAATATCAACTTCAGGATCTCAAATACTAGTAGCTAAACTCAAATATGTAATACATTGCCAACTAGAGATGCACCAATACCATTTTTTCAAGACTGAGAACGAGTACCAATACTTTTCCTCAGCTACTCGCTGATCCCAATTACCAATATCTTTTTCTCAGCAATACATTATACAGTAATGCAGGATACCACCAGCTATAGAGGACTACATATCCCAGCAATGCAGAATAATATGAAGCTACATACGCTGTGTTGCTCTAAGGTGGCAGCCTGATATCTCCAGGGTTTCAGGTGGGCTGTGTAGGGTCTCAGAAGGGCTGTGCAGGGTCTTCAGAGGGCTGTGCTGGATTCAGCAGGGCTTTGCGGGGCCTCAGGTGGCTGTGCGGTGTCTCAGGTGGGCTGTGCAGGATTTTAGGAGGGCTCTGCAGGGTCTTAGGTCTCAGGTGGGCTTTGCAGGGTCTTAGTTCTCAGGTGGGCTGTGCAGGGTCTCAGAAGGGCAGTGCAGGGTCTTCAGAGGGCTGTGCTGGATTCAGCAGGGCTTTGCAGGGCCTCAGGTGGCTGTGCAAGGTCTAAGGTGGGCTGTGCAGGATTTTAGGAGGGCTCTGCAGGGTCTTAGGTCTCAGGTGGGCTTTGCAGGGTCTTAGGTGGGCTGTACGGGATTTCAGGAGGGCTGTGCGTTTTTTTTCACTGGGGGTCCGGAGGGTCTTGCGGACGGTTGCAGGCGGGGGATCGCTGTAATCAGCGCTGCGGGGTTACCTAGGAAGGAGGAGGGGAAGTGCGGCCAGCGCTGTAAACAGGCGCCACGTGTGGTTCACAGGAAGGTTGCCACGGTCCCCAGCAAGCGCGGGACGTCAAGGAACTATTTCAGTTTAAATATTTAAAGCGCCAGTATCGGCGTTTAGTATTGGGGCATTTTCACAAGTACGAGTACTTGTGAAAATGCCCAGTATCGGTGCATCCCTATTGGTGACAGAAAAAAATCTGGTCTTTACATCACCAAAAGATTAGCCATAGGCTTCAGATTTTAGGAAGCATACAGAAGATGCTCTTACCACATGAGGACTTTTTGCTGCTTTGGCCACTGCATCACCTCGATCAGAGAGATACCTGAATGAGAAAATTATAAAAACTCATAAGATCAGCCTGGAAATATATGGATGATGTAGAATAGCAGTCATTCCAACTGCAATATAACACTCACTTGGATATCTGAGTCTGGGATGCATCTAATTTGGTCCTAAGAGTTGTCATCAGTTCAAATACTTTTTCCTGGGAAAAGAAGGAGGCAAGTGTAATTTAAGTCAATATAAAGTGCAGAGTAGCTACACCGTCCATTGGCAGTGTCACATGGCTCACCTGAACAGCAACTCCAAAGTTATTCCCGTCCTCAATCTGAGGAATCTGAAGTTGCAGCCAAAGGGTAACCTGAGAAGGACAAGAAATACAGGAGTATAGAATTGCTGATCCCATTACTTTCCCTTTCTCATTTTTAGCTATAACATTCTCTCATCTACCAAACCCAGCTCCCAGCCATCATTTCACATCTCCCCGCTACTGTATTCCTTCTATGTCCCTCATCTCACCACGTTCAGATTTTCTCTCAGTTCCCGTATTTCATGCTTGATAATCCTTTGCAAACTTGTAATCTTGTCATTGCAGGCAATGGGGCCACAGGGAGGACCTGAAGAGAGAGGTGTGATTACACATTGATTGCATACATGAACTTTTTAGAATTCTGATTATAACTTTTACAATAAAGCGTTATTTCACAATAAATAAATCTGTGATAAGAAATGATATCTGGTCCATGGTTTGAACAGTGCCTTGTGTTTTTTTAGACAAGACATGATATTTGATTTGTATTTGTGTTTTGTTTGCAGTATTATTGGTGGGTGGCTCACCGCTTACCTGCTTGTATATTTAGCGGCATAATTTAATAATTAAAGGCCATCTCTGGGCAAAAAAACAAACAACTTACCCTTGCAGTGGGGCTACCCCTGCAAGGGTAAGTCTCATGCTCCCTGAACCACTCTTTTACAATTTGAGCCCGATTAATCCTGGCATTGCCGTCTTGGAATGTGCCCGTGCCATCAGGTAAGAAAAAATCCATTGATGGAAAAACCTGATCATTCAGGTAGGTAGCTGACCTAATTTTTGGAAACATAATGTTGCTGAACCTAGACCAGAACAACTGAAGCAACCCCTGATGATTACACTGCCTGAAATCCAGGAGTCATTATTTTTGGGCCAGACAGTGTATGTGACGCATTAACAAAAGGTTTAAATTCCTCACCTTTCTCATCGTCATCATCTTTCTTTTTGTCATCTTTTTCTTTCTTCTAAATAAAAAAAAATAGCAGTGAATAAATAATAAGGTCCATTAGTGCTGTGCCTGCATCCCTAAAGCTCACCAAACATTATACATTCATTGTATAGTTTAGGTAAGTCCTCATATTACACAGTTTTAGGCCCCTATCACATGGGCTGATCAGGAGAGGATCTGTGCAGGGATCCTCTCCTGATTACAGCAGTACGGAGCGGATGTCACCGCTGTGACATCCGTGTCCGTATACCGTAGTTTTCTCCTCCATCGCAAAAACTGCATTTACCAGACCCAATGTCAGTCTATGGGGAATCGGATGTAAACAGGCATGTGTACATTTACATAAAAATTACCCCCAACGGGGTGTAAACGGACATTTGTCTGTTTACACACGATTGCCCATAGACTTGCATTGGGCATTCGATCGGGTCCGCCTGTCAGTTTTCAGGATAAGCCATGTGAAAGGGGCATTAGTAAATATGAAAGCAATTGAACAAAGATTGTACAGACTGTAACAAGTATGGTAAGCTTAAAGTTACACTAAACTCAGGAGTTAAATCCTGTATCTTTATATATATTATTTGTGTATCACTCAGCTGTAGATCCTCAAATCATCTCTGAATTGGTGCTGACACGGTCCTTCCTTCTGGAGGGTGGCTACTTTTGTTCCCCATGGTCCCTGTGTGTGTTGTCAAGTAGTCACCGCTCCAAGCTCACTCCTGATATGGACTACAATCTCATTTTTAGCTTAGTTATTTGTAGTGAGATTTTAGTCCCTCATGGGAGAGCGGTGGCCATGGGGAACAAAAGTAGCCACCCTCCAGAAGGAAGGACAGTGTCGGCACAAATTCAGAGATGATTTGAGGATCTACAGTCGAGTGATACACAAATAAGATACATTTTTGTTAATAATTAAAGGTACTTGAATGCATTTTTAAGATTTAACTCCTGAATTTAGTGTCAGTTTAACTACCTAACTTTCCGATGGTAAAATAGTTCTAAAGTTTATTCCCACTTTTGCAGCCAAATTGGGATAACACCTTTTTTATATTTGTTACGTGTTTTCATTCATATAGCATAACTTTACACAAAAAAAAGTTTAAAAAAATTGCTGTTTACATTTTACTTTTTCTCTAATCTGAAGTTTCCTCTGGAAGGGGGGTGGAGAGTGAATATTTAACCTAATTAACCCTGTCTGTACTGTGCTGACAGATCTCATTATCAGTTGTAAACTAGGTTTATAACACGGTCTGTCCTAACAAAGGGTTAAAGATCTAGAAGCATTGTATGGTAATGAGAGGAAGCTCAGCGTGTCTCTATTCTTTCAATGGAGACAGACAGAATTTCCTGTCACTTTGAAATTGAACAGAGAGGTTCCAAAGGCTCCAGCTACACAGACACGTCTAAAAGGTAATATATTATTGTAGTCCATATCAGGAGTGAGCTTGGAGCGGTGACTACTTGACAACACACACAGGGACCATGGGGAACAAAAGTAGCCACCCTCCAGAAGGAAGGACCGTGTCAGCACCAATTCAGAGATGATTTGAGGATCTACAGCTGAGTGATACACAAATAATATATATAAAGATACAGGATTTAACTCCTGAGTTTAGTGTAACTTTAAGCTTACCATACTTGTATATATATATATATATAGTTTTTTTATTGTTTTTGAGTACACTGTGTGAATGGCATGTGTGGTGTTGTGAACTGTGCCTATTCAAACAAGGCAAATTGCCTTTTCTGTGCGTTGGGGCTGCACTGGAAAAAGCAGCCAGTGTGGCCCCAGTGCTTCTGGTGTCAAAGGACCCAAATAGAGGCTACAAGGCTTGCAAATTGAGTCTTGTTTTCTGACCAACGATATCACCCATGCTCATGTGGCCATCTTCTGTCAAAGCAACTGAAGGCAATGCCAGCATGTATTGATGTCTTTTGTCTTGCTTATACAGCTATGGTAAAAGTAGTATCCCGACAGAGAATTACCATCACCAGTGCTACAGGACTGAGACCATATTTATTACTATGTGCACCTTGCTTTAAAGCTGGTTATGAATTGATGAGTGTGTTTGCCATTTGTTTTGCTTGTTGAATTTGGTGTGGGGACATACTGGGGGCTTCGGCTGCCATTGTGATGTGCGGGGCTTCTTGTGTGTCCCTGTGCCTTTAAGGAGGTTGGGCTACCTCCTGGCGAACCTACACCCAATTATCTTTTGCTATATATATGCTCCAAGATGGAGGCTCTCATAGATTAGAGTTAGGACTGCACTACACAGAGGAGCCTTGATGAGGCGGTGTGGCTTCCACATATTTTGCAAACGTTGTGCAACTAAAACCTCGGTTTTTAACCCTAAAGCCCATGACACACTGCATGCGAAGCCGTGCGGAACAAATGTGAGCTCTCACAAGCTGATGTGCCAGAGTGAAAATGACATGACACACTGCACACGTAGGTCTGCGCACCACCGCTCTGTGCTGCTTCGCGTGCAGTGTGTCACAGGCTTTAAAGTTAGACAGTGTAATTTGTTTTTTGCAGGCTGGCAGGTAAGTGTGCTGGGAAATTCTTGCTTTCATTTTTATCACTGGACTGGACAAAACTGATCTGTTATAATGAATAATCTCACCTGTTTTTCTTTTTCTTTTTCTTTCTCTTTCTCCTTCTCAGGGTCTGGTATGGGTATATCAAGCTCAGCTCGCAGTGTTGTCAAATCAGAAACATTCAGCTCTGGAGACTAAAGATAAAATAGACGTTGTGAACATCTACCTTGAAACAGCTTGAGTCAGAATTGACATGTCTTCTAGGTGATGGAGTTGCTAGAGCAGTTGTAGAAATTACTGAGGACTGCAGAATAAATGCTCGGTGATGTTGGAGTGACAATAAATGGAGGGAAAGCTATGATACATTAAAATCCTGAGACTAAAATTGAGCTAAACATTGGAGTTGTTGCCACTATCAAACAATCATGTCCCAGATAGCAAGCAATTGAGCTGCAAGTTTGAAAATGACTTGCTATACTATTGCAGACTTGCCAAGCTTCACAATTTTGTTGCACAATTACAGCAAGTCTGCATTGCAAGTCTCCAGATCAATGTGCTTTGCAGAAGTGCTGTACACTTGCAGAACTCTTGCTAAGACATGCAGGACTCTTGCTGTAGACTTGCCAAGCAAATTAAGAAGAATTACAATTTAACCCTGACACAAGTTTGTGTCAAGTTATCCTTGCTATCTGGGATGTCACCTTTTATTTTCAGAATTCTGAGTGGTCGGCATAGGTAATAACTCCAATTTTGTCTCTGTTTTCTTTTCACCTATATTGATTAATTTGATCCTTTGTAACACACACACCTTCTTCGGACAGCCCTAAAGAACAATGAACACTGATGATCGCATGATTGTCACAAATTCCTTCATGAGACTTAAGGTGGCCATACACTAGCCGGAAAAAACATTTCTGCCATAAACCCTCACTCGAATATAGCTCAAATACTAGGAGGTGCACCGAAATGGAAATTTCAAAACCGAAAAAAACCCCCGAAATAACAAAAAATGTCAGGCCGAAACCGAAAATGTTTTTTATTTTAATTTTTTCAAATATTTTGATTTGTATTTCTTTTTTATAAACCTTTTAATTTTTTATATTTATTAATTCATTTTTTACTTTACTTTTAGGGGCTTTGGGGAAATATTAGGGGTCTAAACAGACCCCTGATATTTCCCTTTTAAAATAGAAAAAAAAAGATTGAGGACACGGAGTCCTCTATCTCGTTTTCTGTGTCCCCTGTTATCAATGAACAGGAATCCTCTATGAGTGTCCCTGTTCATTGATAACATGAGGACAGAGTATGTTTACTATAACTACAACTATGAATGAACAGTAGGTGATGTAGATCACTTTCCATTCATTCATAATTGAGGATATAGTAACCATACTCTGTCCTCAATTATGTACAAACATTCAGCGATCACTGATCAGTTACTGCTTGTAGCCTGCTCTCTTCTCTGACACGCTGTCACAGGAGGCTGAGCGAGCGGTGCGGGGAGGAGAGCTCAGCCTCCTGTGACAGCCCTGGCCGTCTCCGCCCACACACCGTTCTGCCGGACTGTGATAGGAGGCTGAGCGGTGTGGGGGGAAGAGACGTCGGCCGCTCACGCAGCGCTCGGCCAGCTGTCACACTTTCTTTCCACCTCGCTGGGACACAGAGCAGCACCCAGCGGGGAGGAAAGAAAACAGGGATGCACCACTGTATCGGCAGGAAAATGCCACTTTCAGCATTTAGTCAAAAGTGCCATTTTCTATATGTTTCGGCAGCTGATATATCGGTGCATCCCTATCAAATACCCCCCATCAAGAATGGTCAAATGTCGATTTCAGAAAATCGCCCGTTAGCCATACTAACCAACCAATATTTGATGGACGGAAATAATTTCCTTTTGCGCATGTGCTGTTTTCTTGCTCTGATTATTGATGAACGAAAACCCCACTGATTCATCGATTTTCGTTCGGTCAGAGAAAAATATTCCAACCTGACCGATCGAAAAAAATTTAGAGCACAATATCAAAAATGAAAAATCGGTGATGTGTTCGAAAGACCGTTTGTGTACGATTTCCGAATGAAAAATCGCACAGTGTATGGCCACCTTTATGCAACGTGCTGTGGGCAGGAAGCACTGCAAAATACAAGGGCAATTGCCACCGCCATGATTAGCTGCAGACAACCTCACCTAGATGCACACTGTTTGTGTGAATAGGGCCTTAAACAAAAGCGCAGGGATAGGAAACTTTGGCACTCCAGCTGCGGTGAAGCTACAAATGCCATCGTGCCTCTGCGCAATATCACATGGTACTTGTAGTTCCACAACAGCTGGAATGCTAAGGTTGCCTATCCCTGCAGTATGGTATACCCCTGCTTTAGTCATACGTGCGTAGAATGTGCTTCTAGTGTGACATCAGATTTTTTACCTTTGCCTAAATAATACAAGTAGCCAACTTACACAGAGAATCTTGTCCAGGTCAGCAATCTTCTGTGGAATTCCCACTGAGATCAAATCATTCGCCTGGCAACAGCAACAAAAAAACAATTGTATAAGGGCATTGAAAAGGTCTTAATAACCAGAATCAGAAGAGTGATGGCTTCGGTATATAGTGGATTCTAGAATTGTGCTTCTGCATCACTGAGACCTACTCTGTCATGACCGATGATGGTAGAACAAACTGCAATTCTTCAGACTGGCAACATGGGTTAGAGGGACTTGTGTTAGTCAAAAAGGACTGTGCAATGACGCAAATGTTTGGATTATTACAGGTTCTCACTCCATGCGTAGTGCACATCAGATTCATTCGTGATAAAACTTGTGATAGGCCAGTGTCAGCAGGCTTGTCTTCCCTAAGGGTTAGTTCACACCATAGGCAGTGCGTTCCGGTCCGATTCTGGCCGGAACGCACTGCCTCGCATTGCGGCCGGCTCCGTTTTTTGCCGGGCTGGAGGGGGCGTGGGGGCAATTGAAGTGAATGGCAGCGTAGCCACGCCCTCTGGCCGCAATGCGATCGCCCGCACGTGATTGCAAGGCACATTTGTGCCTGCGGTGCGGTCCGATCAAAATAGTGCTTGAAGCATTTTGATCGCACCGCACTGGGACCACACTGCAGGCACAAATGTGCCTTGCAATCCCGTGTAGGCGATCGCATTGCTGCCGGAGGGCGTGGCTACGGTGCCATTCACTTCAATGGCCGGAATCGGACCGGAACGCACTGCCTATGGTGTGAACTAACCCTAAAGAACTGCTTCTCTCCCCATACAAGTCTATGGGAATGCAAAACCAGTTGAAGTAGGTCAAATGCTGGTCAACTGCACCTGCAATGGTTCTGAGTGATCTCAGAAGCGTCACAAACTGATTTTGACAACTGATTGAGTAATTGACTATTGTTGAGCCAGCAGGGTCACACCCTGTAAGAATTTACAGGAATCGGCTGAAATGCTAAAAGGTGCCCATAAGAGCGGCACTAACCCGCCGACAATCGTACGATTCTTGGCGGGTTTTCAAGCCTGAACGAAAGACAAAAGACGTGCGACCATAAAGTAGAAACAGTCGCACGCCTTCCATACACCTGCCGATTATCATACGATCACGGGATTTCCCGCGATTATCGGCAGGTGTATGGGCACCTTCACAGGCTAGCCATACACAGCTTAAGTTTTGGCCCATTCCTGGTGAATTAGACAAAATGCCAAGAGGGCCACTCACAGCTCCACTAAAGACAATTTAAAAAATGACTGAACCGGGTCAGCCGCACATTGACTGCATCCAATCAGACGCAGTAATTGTTAACTCAGACAGTCGCAGTGCATACAATAACCATCAGGAAAGATTCCTCTACCCACACACAGTTTAGGGTGGAATCAACTGACCTCTATGCTGTCAGCTGAACAAATCTAACCGTGCTTTACTGCCTTATAGGCTGACATTAAGTATTGTGAAACCAAAATTAAGTTCCCCTTTTGGCCTTTACCATGTTTGCGTTAGCAAAAAAAGGGTTACCTGGGTGTGGCCTGGGAATGAAACCAGGAAATGCAAATGCATATTATGCACCATTTCTTTTTGTTTTGTAAAAAAAGCGTTAGTGAAAAACTGGTCCAGTAGCTTTAGCTTCTTGGGACCTGATGCCAGATATCAATTAGGGCTCCTCGGTTTCTTCTCCTCACCCTCTGCTCCATATTTAGGCTGGATTCACATCTATACATTGCAGTAACGCTTGCTAAAATTGTTTCAACGCGCAGTAGCCTTTGAGATGCCTACCAGCCCACCTTCGCTATAAATAGTACAGAGAGTACGGAGAGCCTGCATTTGAGCTTTGTGCAACCATAATGAAATTCCCCATTTTGAATTTATTACATTTAATATTTTCTTACCTCCTTACAAAACTGATTCTGGAATCCTTGTGCCTATAAAGAAAAACAAACAGTTAATAGATGGCTTGGCATGGTTGTTTCTCATTGCAGTAGTTCTAACAGTTCAACAGAAACTATAGCAAAATACAAAAAGGTTTGTCTGCATGTTTAAGGGCCCATTCATACCATGTCCAGATCATCTGCAGACCAGACCAGATTGTTTTTGGACCCAAAATGTATCCTAATGTATCTCTATGCTATTTCTGGCCTCTGTTCACACCAGCGCAGTCCATTCCAGACTAGACCAGTGTTAGGAATCAATCACTCTCCCTGGACGCAATGATTGTGCATCCAGCGAAAGTGTTATCTAACCGCATGTAATCATATCACGTATCATTACATGCAGTTTGAAGGAGTTTACATGGAGCTGCTGTCACCTGATCATTAACTTAGGTGACAGCTGCCATTTCTAAACTCCAATTTAGGGATTTCTGCTGCAGGAAAACGCAAATTTCTGATGCAGGAATCCCTAATCACACCTAAACCTACAGATATGAATGGGGCCTTATTGTGTGTATATTGGTGTCTGTAGTACCATATAGGATACAGTTACATTTTATTTTATTGTATGAAATTTGGCAAGCGGCCGCCATTGACAGAAGAAAATTTGTTGAGTGGCCCCAGAGATGGAAGAGGCGGGGGGCGAAGATGGAGGTGGCAGGGGGGCAGAGACACCGACGGAGGAGGCGTCGCCGGTGCTCCAGTTGGGCAGCGAAGATGACAAGGAGGCCGTGTTGGACACCAAGGATGAGGAGGCCATCCAGTCAGGCGCGGAGGACAAGGAGGCCGTGTTCCAAAGATGTCAGGCTGTCAGGCCGTGCAAGCTAAGAGGACTGTGCTGTCAGAGCCCAGCATAGATTCTGCACAGCCCACCAAAGAGTCTCAGGTGTGCTGTGCAATACCCTTTGGTTGGCTCTGCAGGATCCATAGTGTGCTCTGCAGCCTGCAAAGCCCACCACATATCCTGCAGAGCCTTCCTGAGATCCTGCAGGATCTGTGGGGGCTTTGCCGGGTCTCAGGGGGCTTTGCAGGATCTGTGGTGGGCTTTGCAGAATCCATAGGGGGCTCTGCAGCCTGCAATCCCCACCAAAACCCTGCAGAGCCCACCTGAGACCACAGTCGGGTGGGGTAAATTTAGTGTGGGGGCAGCCCCAAACCAGAATACACCACTGTGGACACACACCCCCACACTGGTGTGTTTTTCTGCAGCCTCCCCAGTCAGAAAAAGTGAAGGTAAGTTATTAAATAAAATTATTATTTTTTGTAGCCCAATTGATGGCATTGCTGCATAAAGTACAGCTGGTATTTGTAGTTCTATATAGCAGGTCCCATTCTGCATTGCAGCAATGCAGAATGGCACCCTCTATAGAGGACTACAAATCTCAGCTGTACTTTATTCAGCAATGTCCCTCTATGTATGCATGTGAGAAAAAAAAAAATTCTTTTTTTTGTGGTTGCTACAGGGGATATGGGTTAGGGGGGCTTGTGTGAGCTTTTTTTGGGGGGGGCAAAAATAATCTTGCACCGGGGCCCTTTGTTCCCTAGGTCCGCCACTGCCCCAGAACATAACATTTCCTTCATCATGCATTATGGTTGGTATGAGGTTCTTCTCCTGAAATGCTGTTTTTGGTTTCCAGAAAACATGTCCACTGTCACTATGGTCAAATAACTCTATCTTTAAATCTTCAGCATTCTTCAGTCAATAGCACATGGTTTCTAAAGGTCTGACCTTTGCCTATATGATCAGTGGCAAACTGTAACCTTGCTCTAATGTTCTTTCTGAACAGCAAAGGTTTTTCCTGGCACACCTCTCAATAAAATTGGTGCAAACGTTGATGCAATCCCTTTCTGATTGTAGCTTGCATGCACTTTGACATCATCTCCCAACTGAAATGATGGCAGATAGCACAGGAAGCAATAGCTTCTTTGCTATCTGCAGGAGCCATCATCTAATAGCAGGAGACTCCTGGAGCGTCCGGGAGAGTTGGGATGTTTGCATTATCTGTTGCAAGAGTAAGCAATACAATGTTGGGGGTCTTGGAGATTTCTTTCCATATCAACCAGTCAGCTCTTGGGCTGAATTTGCCAGGCCAATCAGTCCTGGACAAATTAGCACTTCTTTGAAATCTGCTCCACTTGAAGATTATTTTCCTTACAGTGGAATAATTGATTTCAAATCATTTTGTGACCTTTTAAAATCCTTTTCCAGACTTATAGGCTGTCAAGGAAGGCCAGCAAGCCGTCATAGAACAGGTACTGTGAGAGCCATTGCGCATGTACGTGTGAGACGTTTTCGTGCTAATATTGCTTGTAATCGTGCACATGACTTTTCCATGTTCGAAAGTTCGAGTTAGAACCGAACACGGGGGTGTTCGGCTCATCACTACTCCTGACCTCGGCCTGTTGCAATACTCTGCCTCTTGTCTGCTGATTCGGTACCACTTATCCTGCAGGGCTTGACCTAGGCTTGTCCTGACCCAGCTTCTGTCGTCTGATTCTGTACTGCACAGCTCGCCAGTTATTGACCAGGCTCGGCTCTGACTCTGCTCATCTGATATCATGCACGCTTCTGGCTGACTACCTGCCTGGTGCTCCACTCCGCTGTCTTCTCAGTATCACATACTGAGTATCACATACTTGTTAGCCCCCTGTGTGATAGCATAAAGAGGACCTGATTTAAGTCTAAAAGAAAAAAAAAAGTCTCATATTAAAAAAACACCAAAAAATAATTTAAGTCCCCCACGTACATGCACATATCGGGTGCGCCTACGTGCGAAAACAATAACGCCACACATGTTACATATTGCTGCGAACGTTGCAGTGAGAGCAATAATTTTAGGGCCATCAATCACTGATAACACTGAACGGATGAGCGGTAAAAGCTTTTAAAGCATCGCCTATGGCTCATTTTGGGCATGGTAGTCATTTGCAATTTTACAGGCGCACGCAATTTTCACAGCTTCACATATTTGGTGTCTATTTACCCGGCGTGACATCGTCGTTTATATTTTACCAAAAAATTGGGATGAAAATAAAATGTTTCATAACATTTCATAGGGAAAACAGGTTTGTTTTAAAAATTTAGGATACTTTTTTTTGTTATATAGTAAAAAATAAAACCGCAGTGGTGATTAAATACCACCACAAGAAAGCTCTATCTGTCCCTAAAAAAGGGTATAAAATTCATTTCAGTACAGCTCTGCATGACGGAATAAATGTCAGTCAAAGTACCGCAGCGCTGAATACTGAAAAATGGCCTGGCCAGGAAGGGGGTGTAACCCCCCGGTCTTCAAGTGGTTAAAGGGTTACAGTTGTGAGTGATGTCATTAATGCCGTTTCCAGCCCGAGTTCCGGTGACTGGGCTTCATTTTATTTTATTCAAGTATTGACATTTTCTAATTTTCTTTGTTATATATTCATTAGAATATTCATTGAAACCAGTAATAAATGGTCGTGACCAATTTATATCCATTATGGTTGTTGTTTGCATTTATTTATTGTATTTTATGTGTTTGTTGCCATAGTGTCTGCAATCCCATAGGATAGCACAGGGGTGGGCAACTCCAGCCCTCCAGCTGTGCTTTAACTACAAATCCCAACATGCCTGAGAGTCATGCTGGTAACTGTCAGTCTTGCAATGCCTCGTGGGACTTGTAGCTCCACAACAGCTGAAGGGTCAGAATTGCCCAGCCCACAGAGGGAGACCGAGTATATAATGAGGGGAATTTATCAGAAATGGAGCAGTCAGAATCTGGAGCAGTTGTCCATAGTAACCAATCAGCTTCTTTCTTCAGTTTGAAAATAAAAGCTAGGAACTAAAAAGGTCGCTATGTGCAACTGCTCCAGATTCTGTCTGCTCTGGTTTTAATCAGTTCCCATGAATGTATGCTATGTAAAAGTTATAATTCTGTGATTTCAGTTTCCAGACAAGCCCGGATGTTATTTTAGTTTATCAAGGTGTAAAGTGTGTGGACAAATCCCAGCTTCTATTACAGGGACATCAGATACATTATGGGGTGTCCTTTTTGTGCTTGTGTTACAGTGTCAGTTTAGATGACATTCCTCATTAGATATATGTGGGGCCTGCAAGGCCTTGCAGGTTACAACTACCAAACCAAACGTGTGCAGTAAACGTAGACACACACAGTTCTCCCACAAGAGATTCACTGATATTTAATCTTCAATCGGGTGTCATTTAATCTGTGCAAAACTTGTTCCGGACTTCTTGGAAGAATTTCATTTCAGCTCAGATTCCTGCTTTAGGTTTCATAAGACATTTGTTACAGCTTGTACTAGAACTATAGAGTGCCATGTTTGTTTTGTATGACCGTATACATATGACAAGGAAAATCAGCAAAATGAAACTGTAGGCCTCATGCTGATCAGGATTCTAATTTTAGAATGTGCTTGTCGGTTCTGCAGCGTCAGTGTACAACGGCATTTCTTGTACACGTTATGGCGCTCTGTAGTCATATCATGCAATTATCTGTTCATATAGAATACGTCGGTGATCCAATCATAAAGAACGCATTCTAGAACTGTGACACGCGTGTCATTCTCATTTACATTTCCTTGAAAAATCAATCTATATTTCTTGAACCCGTTTCTGAAGGTTGAACATACATATTGTAAATATATTTATGAAACATACAGGTATAGATTTGTCTGGAGAGATACATGTAGGCTCACACTGAACACGCTTATACATAAACCTGGACTTCTCACCTTCTGTACGGCATCCTGTGTAAGTTGAATATCTGCCATTACTGCAGGGGGATCAGATTTAGGATGAAGAGAGATCCTCGGTACCGTCTCTCGGTTTTATACACTTTAGACGTTTCAGCTTTGAAGGGAAAGTGAAAGTAAAGAAGAAGGGACTTTACAGAACAAGGAGGAGCAATGACTTTGTGTAATAGGCTGAGGGAGGTGCTTGACAGAGCATGGAAAAAAAAAAGGGAGAACATAGAAAATTACATACATCAAGTTATATACACAGAAATAAATTACATTAAATAATAGTAGCATGTGACCACTCTTATACTGAGCTTAGGGTAACGGGAGGACGCTAGTTTGTGTCCTCCCGTTACCCTAAGGAGAACTATGGGGAAAAACACTGACCCCATAGTTCTCCTTTAAATAATATATAGATCCTGGTAGTCTCCCCAGTGTAGTTCTACGAGCACATGCAGTTCTTTGCGATTGGTTGCGATAGCTCCCCAATGCAGCGCGGCCCAGAAGATGATCTTTTCCTGGATTGCATATGACCAATCGCCAGAGGGTCAGTCACAGTACTACCTTTTGGGCCAGCAGCGTCCGGACTGCGGTCGGAGGCGATCTGCTGTAGGCTGAGGCTGTCCCTGTCCCTCCTTTATAGGTGAGTATATGTGTGAGGCATGAGGCTATCTGGGATGTGGGCAGGTCTATTTAGGCCAGTGGTTCTCAACCTTTCTAGGGCTGGGACCCCTTGATAACATTTGCCAAGTTGTGGTGACCCCCAATGGTAAAACTTAGGGATGACGCAGGAGAACTGACACTGCTGCGCTAGGAGGGCTGAGGAGGACTCTCACCTAGCACAGCAGAAATCACACAGCAACCCACAGGTTGAGAACCACTCGCGTACGCCATCAGAATAATAATTTTTTTTAAACCACCATAGAAATGCATAGCTAGATTCCTATTGGCTATTTCACTTTGTAATAGCCAATAGCAAACTAGCTATTGCACCCGCCCTCTGCTGCTGTCAATCACTAGAAGAGGACCTGATGGAGAACTGCATGTCCCCCTCTGCTGATTGGCAGCAGCAGAGGGCGGGTGCAATAGCTAGTTTGCTATAGCAAAGTGAAATAGCCAATAGGAATCTAGCTATGCATTTCTATGGTGTTTTTTTTAATGACTTACGGGGGCCGGCCGGCTCGCGATGCCAGAAAAAAAAACTCAGGGAAAGGTTTGATCGAGCAGAGTAAACCTTTCCGGGAGAAAGTGTTTCTCTCCCGGGGGCCGGGATCCGCTATCTAATAGTAGGAGACTCCCGGGCGACCCCTGGCAAATCAGCATTCAACCCCCGACTGGGTCGCGACCCACAGGTTGAGAACCGCTGATTTAGGCCTATCTGGCGGCTACCTCTTTCCAAAAGTTGGATTCTTTGTGTGTTGTCCCGGATGGTCCCAGAAAAAGGCAGGTGGCCTCGTCGGCCATTATATCCAGGTGGATATAATGTTACTGTTGGCGCCATTATTTCTTCCCAATCCCAGCAGCCCGCCTACAAGGTACTTAATCTCGGCCAGCTTCTTATTGGCTATTGCCCCCACTCCTCTCTGATGCATGGCTGAGTGAAGCGCCAGCTGCGTGGTCAGGAGAAAGAGCTCAGTGATATCACATCCATTCTGCTGCACACTCGCTTCTGACCTCCGAAGCAAAAAGCTGGCGGGCTAGAGCGCTCATAGTTATCACAGAGATGCCGACCAGACAACCTGTTTACTTCCGTCACACACTAACTGGATAGACATGTGTGGGAAGTAGGATGAAGGCTAGGCAAGACGACCATTTCGTTGGTTGGCATTGTCATTAGAGTGTAAGCTCCTCTGGTGCAGAGATTGATGTGACTGACTCAGTGTCCTCAGTACAGCACTGCGGTATATGTCAGAGCTATACAAATGTAAAATAATATTATTATGAGGGGACATTAGAGTGTAAGCTTCTCTGTAAAGAGACTGATATGACTGGTTCAATGTGCTATGTACAAGACTATGGTATATGTCCCTAAAAAAAAAAAAAGAGTAAAAGGGGGCAGAGGTGAACCTTCATGGACTTGCTCCACCCCTTTGTTTACATTCGGGAGCAAAGCTGTTATTAGCGGTTGGTGTTTGTCTACTGCGGTCGAGGCGGCGTGCGATGGGGATTTTTTTTTTCTTTCTTTAGCGAGAGGTGGGCATCATGATTAACGAGGATCTACATTGTGGGTTTTTAACCCCTTCCGACTGCTGATGGGATTATTTCGACACGGTCTTTCAGTTCCTGCTGGTAGATTCTCAACAGCAATATAGGTGGTCGCAGCACAGTAATGGCTGCAAGAAAATAATAATGTATATATGTATATGTCACATCAAATTAAAGCCCATTTTGTCCTTTAAAAACATGGTATATAATATGTGTAGGTGCAATGAATGAGGAAAATGGAAATTATGGTAAAACATACACATAACAAAATTGCTCCGGTCCCCAGGAAAAAAAACATTTTCTGGAGCTGTGTCACTAAGGGGTTAAAGGATCTGTCAAAACTGTGTGGTGTGTTTATTTACTATCCTAATGTTTATTTGGTGAATGAGTAGGGGTATCAACTACCCCTACTCTTTCACAAGGGGGGTATCATCTGGTGCCCCCTTTAAGAAAGGGGGCACCCAGATTCAGATAGGCCCCCTTGCCTGCAGACCCCCACAACCACTGGGCCAGGGTTGTGGGGAAGAAGCCCTTGTCCTCATCAACATGGGGACTCTGCCCCCATGTTGAGGGCATGTGGTCTGGTATGATGTGAGGGGGAGCACACACACACACACACACACACACACACACACACACACACACGTGCATTCCCCTCCTTCCTGTTCTACAAGGCCGCTGCTTTGATCAAGGGTCTAGTAAAGGATTTTGAGGGGACCCCACGCTTTTTTTTATGGCATGGGGTCCCACCTAAAATTCTAAAATGTACTAAACTCCATCCAAATAGATTAGAATAGATGAGAATACGAAAACTTTGCATCAGATTTTGGATAACAAATATCACACAGATCAGAATTTCAGAAAACGGAAAATAAATTAAACAAAACAAAAATGAAACAAAATGTTCAGCCATTCACATGTCTAATTACTACAGGTAGTATACATTCTGATCTATACACAATGCTACTCTTCAACTGTGCAGACCACTGAATGAGATAGAATGACAGAACAGTCCCCAATTCTATCAACAGGAGCGTATAGACAGATGTATTATATTATCACAGCTTCATTCATAAATACCTCACTTTACTGCTCTTGCAGCACTGTGGCACAATAAAACCTACCCCTGACCACTTGTCAATTAAGCATCAGTTTGAAGTGAAATTCTCTCTCATCTTGATTTCAAATCTGTCTCATCTCCAGTGTTAATTTTGTCAGTCCTTTGCAAAACTGTCTCAGTTGCCTGCCCAGAATTGCAAGGGCAGGGACTACAAATACACACGCAACTGTTGCACAGACTTTGCTAATTGAGAGGCAGTCTGACTTGCATCTAATTTGATCCGGATAAATACCCTTCATGGTATCATGTTTTCTACATTATACAGAGCCTTCTGACTGTGGGGAATAGAGATCAGGAGCCCATGTGTGCATGGCAATGCAGATTGTAAATATATGGACACTGACCAATGGCAGAGTTTTTTATTAAGGTTCTATAAAAAAACAAGCACACAGATTGTCCAAGACTGTATGCCAAAATGAAGAAGAGTTGCAGTGTTTGCTGCAATTAGCAATTCACAGATTGATTTTACTTGTGTCCATTACTGCAATCTGTTAAACATCCAAATGTCTGTGAGGAGTAAAGTCCCAGCATATACTATCCTGTTATAACATCATCATTGTAATAGGAATACATAGTATAATTGTTGTGATAATGCAATCAAAGCTTACTTGAAAATTCCCCTTGTATGTAGTGAGTGCTGCCTTCTGTCTGCTCATCACTTTCATCAACTTCCTGGACTCCCAGTGTGCTTTACATCTCTTTCCCTGCTGCTTGATGTGATGCAATCTCGATATCTCAAGACTACACATCCCATCATGCATTGCTTCCAGCAATCAATGATAATATTACATTGTTCAGATGTTGGATCCACAGCCACCATTTTTTCAGGATACCTACAAATAGATATATGGCTGCCAGTGGCTTCCTTCTCTATATAATTATATCCTTTTTATTCATAGCATTATTTTAGGACCAATTATCATAGGCATTTTCTGTGAATTTAACAGAGATTTTAGAATCTGGGATTTGTATTCCTATGTATAATCTACAGCACAATTGATTAGTTGTTGCAGCCCTACTATTCATCACTGTTTAGATCACTCTTAGCACTGTTTAGATTATTGCTATCACTAAACCCTCTATATTGGATCAGGTTTACACATGCCAATGTGTAGACCCATTGGTTACACATAAGGGTTGAAGGTTTGTGTTTGTTGATCACAGAGCTTCCGGATTATGCATTCGAGTCCGGCACTTTTGCACTTTCTATAGCTTTACCATAAACCCCAATCCCAACAGACACCAAGACTGGACAGAAACTCTGATATTTCTATACAAACAGCAATTTTGTGTGGTTGGGTGGAACACAACAAGCTCCTTTCATCTCCCCAAATGAAGACCCAAATAAGCTACTAGACATGTGCGATTCGTTTAGTTACGAATCGAAATTCGTACGAATTTTCCTGAAATCCGTAAATTCGGAAGCATCCGAAATCCGAATTGCAGTTTCCGAATTATATCCGAAATACGAAATTCCGTTAACGAATTTCGGATCCGAATTTCTTTGAAACGGGAACTAATATTACCCCTGTAAATGAGGTTGAACAACATGACAAGATTTTTTTTTAAATCCGAAATACGGATCCGCTGCTGCTGAGGGTTGCATTGCAATACACAGGCAGGAAATACGAAATTCCGTTGGCGTATTTTCGTTCCGTTACGAACATTCATTATATTGAAGTTAAAAAGCAAAGTACATTTGTTAATATATTGGAGTTGATGGTAGTTTTTTTTTTTCATCCGAAATACGAAATTCGGATACGGAATCCGTTAACGGAATTCGTATTTCGTTTGGTTGACCAATCAGAGGTTTTCTCTTCTGCTGCTGAGAGTT